GGATGTAACTGAAAAACACAGACTGGGCCTTACTGGGGCACCAGCCGCTACCCATGGATGTAACTGGAAAAGACAGACTGGGCCTTACTGGGGCACCAGCCGCTACCCATGGATGTAACTGGAAAACACAGACTGGGCCTTACTGGGGCACCAGCCGCTACCCATGGGTGTGACTTTAACCCCCCCGACGTCCAATCAGCACTGCCCTTGCTGAAGGTTATCTGAGGCGGGGGGAGGGGAAATCACTCCGGCCCAGCAAATGATGCGAGAAAACGAAAATCAGCCATCAATAGGATTCTATTTACCCCGTTCTGAGCTGCATGCAGCCTGGGGGGGCACGGCTGTCTGATTATCCACCCCCATGTAAACCCCCCCCCCCCAGCACCAAGCCCACCTCCCCCCCTTCCGAGCTGCTCCAGATCAGACGCACGGCACAAATCGCCGCCTGAGCCCCTGTGTACTGTACCTCAGGAGGCCTGGGGACCATCGCCGTCACAGGCTCCGGGCCCAAATATGCAAATGGCCAGGATGCCCTTTAAGTGATTCACTGCTTCCGAAATCGAGAAAGTGAAGCGGGGGCAGCTGGAAGGTACATGCAGGGCATTTAAGCGCCAGTTCGAGGGTATCGCCACGAGTACTGAGCACCATCCTCCCAAACAGACCTTCTTAAATGGAGTCGGTCGCGGCCTGCCCTCCAGCCAAAGGGCTGGAATTTAGCCGTGTGTGCAGTCAAGGCAGGCCTCTCATGCAACGCCATGTAATATAATCTCATGCCACGATAAGACCTTCACGCTCTCAAAGGGCCCAGTACGATAGCGTAAACAAAGCGCTGGCTCGCAGAGACACATTCATCTGCGCTGGCTCTGTCGGATCCCTTATCGACGCCTGACCGGGTCCGTCCACCAGGGCTGTGCCTATTCTCCACACTGCCACGTCATCCTGGGCTAATAGCACTTCCTCAGTTTATTATCTGTATTGACTGCCATTGGTTTCTGGATTTTTCACAACTTGACACCTGTCTTCCATAACAGAGAGTTTCTCATTCTCTATCATTTGGGAAGGGAGGAATTCAGTTACTGACAGTAACATTACCAGTCACATTTTTAAACTTACTGAGTCTGACAGAAATTTGGATAGGTGCATATATAATGCACCAAGCATAAGAAGATGTGGTACTAAATGCCAAAAAAAAGATTGATTAATCATTAATTAAATGAATGAGCAATAATACAATAACAACGAAGTTACCATATATCCAGTATATGTAACCGGGCATTTGATAAAGCAGTGAATTTTAAAAATAAATCAGTGAACAATAACTGAGAGGGATATTTCAGGAAATTTGAGGAGCTTTCATTTTGTAATGCAAACACCGTTGTTCTTATCTCTGTTGAGTTATTCAGCATGCAGTGAAGCATATTTGTCTAATTCATAGATTTTACAAAACACAAAGGTTTCCATTCTAAAGGATGGCTATCTGCTATGATGGAGCAGGAAGATTTAAATGAATATGCAGATTAAGGTATTTTAGTTTTTGATTCCTGGGGGTATAGTGATGTGGAAGGGGCAGTAAAGGAATTGAAGCTGTTGGAAGACACACGGAAAAGGGAAAACAAGGCTAATGGATGAGATGTGGAGGAAAGTCACGAAGGCCATGGTTGGAGCCTTGAGGAACTGTCGCTGGAGAGAGTCATGGGAGGTGGATGCAGGTCCCACTGGAGAGGTCCTGGGACACACAACCCCTGAGGTACTACAAGGTTATTAAGCTCAGCACTGCGCTGGTGACTTTCAGTGGAGATCAGTTGCTGTAGAAGGTCTAGAAAATTAAGTGCTTAAGATCAAGGGTGTCAGACAGGAAAACAAAGCTGAGGAAATTATCTTAAATGTAAGTATTTGAGATGGAAGGGAGAAAGAAATTTCAGAAGGAATTAGAAGATGCCTAGGGCTGATTTTGGTACTCAAAGTCTGATATTTTAGCTAAGAAGGTAAGGGGCCAGGTAACCGCATCGAACGGTGGAATGTAAGGGAGGCAACATTGATCACAAGGTGTGGAGCGGAACCACGTAACCATATCGAATGGTGGAATGTAAGGAAGTCAGCATTGCTCATGAGATGTGAAGCAGAACTGGTTAACCGTACCTGATGGTGTAATGTAAGGGAGGCAGCACTGATCACGAGGGGTGGAGTGGAACCGGGTAACCGTATCGAACAGTGGAATGTAAGGGAGGCAGCAGTGATCACAAGGTGTAGAGTGGAACCGGGTAACCGTATCGAACAGNTGGAATGTAAGGGAGGCAGCAGTGATCACAAGGTGTAGAGTGGAACCGGGTAACCGTATCGAACAGTGGAATGTAAGGGAGGCAGCAGTGATCACGAAGTGTGGAGCGGAACCGGGTAACTGTATGGAACGGTGGAATGTAAGGGAGGTGGCACTGATCACGAGATGAGGAGCGGGACTGGGTAACCGTACGGAACGGTGGAATGTAAGGGAGGTGGCACTGATCACGAGGTGTGGAGCGGAACCAGGTAACCGTATCGAACAGTGGAATGTAAGGGAGGCAGCAGTGATCACGAGGTGTGGAGCGGAACCGGGTAACCGTACGGAACGGTGGAATGTAAGGGAGGTGGCACTGATCACGACGTGTGGAGCGGGTTCTGGGAAGTCACATGGTACAGTGGAGAAGGAGGAGGTCAGCAGGGGGATAAAAAGCGAGGATTAGGTAGAGTAAACTTTGCAAGGGTTTTTATTTCAAATTCTGATGAGATAAGCCCTGACAGAGATGGCGGGGGGTAAGAACAAATCAGCAGGTGTTCGGGTCACGGGATCTCCACATTCGCTTTTCTGGTAGATCACAGTTTGGCTTCTCCTGCACTTAAAGGGGGAGACAACCAAGTGAGGGGGGGCTGAAGTGATGGGGAGTGGAGGGTCGTGCAGGAAGAGACGTGGGAGGGAGGACAGGAGTTTGGTCAGAGTGTGTGGGCCATGATTCCACTGCGTGAAGTACCTTACTTTTGGTATGGTACTTTTGGTCATTTGCTTTTCCATTGACTTCCGCTCTGGTATAAGTACACAAATTCCAGTACTAAAAGTGCCAAACCCGCTGGGGTACTTCTTTGGTACTTCGGGATGGGATTTGAAACACTTTGTCGATTGGTTATGCAAATAGCCTGCCTCTGAAACACAATAAAACGCCACCTTGAAGGCAGTTGCGAACTCAACTGCTCAGAAAACTCAGAGAAAGATAAACAACGTAAAAAAAAATTTAATCTGGTCAGAAGAACAGATACAATAATAAGATAAGTATGGCATAACAAGAAATGTAAAAAGTATTTCAATATACTAGGACAGCACGCTATTTTGTTTAATATACTAGGACAGCGATGTGATTTTGTTGGAAATATGGCGATGTGATTTTATTGTAATAAATATTGGGCTATTTATAAAACAAAAAATGAGTTAATGTATTTCTCGCAAACCCGTCTTCGAGTGATTTAAGGATTAAGGATGAAAATCATTATGATTGTCTCGGAGAACGCATGCAGCGCTCATGCAAAAGAAGTGGAGGTATCCTTTAAACTGATTTTTCAACATAGATAATCTATAAAAGGAATAATAATTAAAATTCGATAAATTTTATTCCATGACAGAGTAAAAATAATTTAACGAAACTTTAACTCCCTGCGCTGCAATGTCCGTATACAGAATTGAAAATAAGAAAAAGCCTGATCGTAATCTAGCTCGATAGCGAAGAACTGCATGTGCATAACATGCGATGTTGGTATTAGTATACGTCCAGTCGTATAATACACTAAAGCAATTTTTTGAATTCAGTAAAAAAAAAAATAAAAAAAAACCCCGCCTCGCGTTGTGATCTCATTCCGCGCGGTACCAGTTTTTCGCCGGTGGAAAACCTAAAGTACCGTACCTGGTGTGGTGGAAAAGCGCCCTTTGAGGTGTGTAAAAGATTGACGAGCAAGAGAAATGCTGGGAAACGGAGGGATGAGATTACAAAATGGAGGACATGTCATACGTTAGTGGGAAGTTTTGATACGAATATGAATGATATTTACTTTAACAACCGAGACGGTTAGAGGCAAAAAATCCCCGTGAACGTGAAAATTTGCGAATGACACCCCCCCCCCTCCCAACCTCAACCCATAACTCCTAGCCTGAGTGATAACATAAAACGACTTTTTTATTACCAATTTCTAAACAGATATTACAAGTACTGTGCTGTACAATTGCATGACAAATTGCTAAGTCATTTCCTTTTTAGACCTTTTCTTATATGAAAGATATATTTAGATATATCTTTATATTTAGATATATTTGTGCTTTTTATGACAATGTTTTTATTCTGTGGCAATTTGAGATTGTTTTAAATGTGAAGTGCGATACAAATAAAATATATTATTATTATTATTATTATTATTATAAATACAAACCATCCCCTGTATGTACAAAGTAACTACAGTACTGTACGCACTGGGAGCACTACGTTTTGGACGCATCATTAGAAATGCAAAACTAGCAGCACTAAAAAGTTACTGGGTAACACTTTACTTAAAGCAGTCATCATGTTGCATTATAGATACCTTCATAATAGTCAGTACAAGCCATTATAAAGCATTATGAAAGTATTTATAGTGCATTGTAGATGAGAGCTTCAGAGAGCATTCATAATGTGTAATAAACATGACTATACATTAGTTCCCATTATAACTTCAAAGGACCTGGCAAAACAGTTAGTTATATCCAATGTCTGATATATCCACAGTTGCTGTATGCCCAGAACAGCACACCCCTTTGCTAGAACGTGCCTGGCTCTTAAAGGGGCCAGGTAAATATTGGATGCCATCCCGCGGGTCCCTAAGGTCCTTAAAGGGGCAACAGCTGCTGCTGAGGCGCAGACCCCGGCTTTAGTCCCTGGGGTTCCTGCACCGGCAATCAACGCCCCCCGCGGTTCCTGCACCGGTGGTCGATTCTCCGTCCCCCGGCGGTTCCTTACCTGCCAGTTCCGGATGATCCTGACCTGCCAGTTCCTGATGTCCCTGACCTGCCTGTTCCTGATGAGATTCCGTTTGTCCATGTGATTCCGCCTGTCCCTGAGGTTCCCGAACCTCAACCTCCAGTTCCCCCGGCTCCAGATCCAGTTCCCCCAGCTCCTATTCCCCCGGTTCCTGACCCTCCAAATCTGGTCCCTACTCCCATGTCCCAGACCTCTGTCCCCGAGGAGGTTCCCAACAGATGGACCATCGCTCCTCCTTCCTTGGTGGAGATAGAGGAGGAGCTTGAATGGGACCCCTCAGGGATTGCCCTGACTTCTCCAATAACTCCTTCACCACCACCCCAGCATGGCAGATCTCGGCCGGGACCCCACTTGTCGATCTCCCGGAAAGGGAGGGGACACCTGCGCTGGGGTCGTGTCTCGCCCGCCCTGCCCCCTGGCTCGCCCTTGGTCTCCTTGGCTGTGGCTCGAGGGATGCCTGCGGGACTTCCGGCTCATGCTCGGCAGCCGCATGCGGTTCCCCTGGCTCCGGCTTGGCGGTTGTCTCCGGGTCCCCCTCTGACACCTTTTGGGTTGCCTGTGGCCCTGCCTCTGGCACCTCATTGGTCGCCTGCAGGTCACCCCGCTTTGACTTGTCGGTCGTCTGCGGGTCCCCCCACTCCAACTCGTCAGTCCATTGCGCCTTCGCCGGCTGTGGCTGCGCCGTCCCCTGCTGCGACTTCACCTGCCTCCTCCTCTGCACCTATGTCCCCTTTGCCTTCTTCCTCACCTCCCCTGGTGCCCCCTCCAACTTCCTCCCCTCCTCCTTTGCCTGTTTCTCCGCCTGCCTCCTCTCCCTCTACGAGGTACCCTCCTGCTCCTACCTTGCTGCCGTCGAGGGTCCCTCCGGCTCCGCCCTTGAGGTCACCTACTGCCTGTACGGCTTCCACCTCTTGCCTGCTGGGGTTCCCTCGGGCTCCCTGTTTTCCCCGTCCTATGCCTTCCTGCCTCCTGGTTTCATGCCCCCTGTGTCTGCTTCTCGTCCCTCTGTTTCACCTGTGTTCACTCCTGGTCCTTTTGTTCCTCCAGTTGGTGTTCCCTCTGTCTCTCTGTTCTTGGTGCCCCTGTGCCTGTCGACGTTCCCCATCATTTTTTTTTCCCAGGCCTCCTGTCCCCGGTTCTGTCTCTTTGTTCCCCTGAGGCGCGTCCAGAGTGCACGCCTTTTGGAGGGGGGGGGGGGGTTCTGTCATGCCCTGCTCGTCCAATCCGCCTGTGTGCCACGCCCCCTCATTAACCTCGCATGAAATCCCGATTGTTACCAGTTGTTTCTTGTCATTCCTATTGAGTCCTGTGTATTTCAGTTTCCCCAGTCCTGTCATTGACGTCTCTGTGTTATCGAAGGCCTGTGTTGCCGTGTATGCCTCTCCGTCTCCCGATTAAAGTTCTCTTTCCCCGATCCTGCGTCTCCTTCGCCTGCTTCCCTGGTCCATGCCCTGCATGTTACGACAGTAGTGGCTTAGTTAACTCTTATTTAGCTAGCTAGCTAACATTACTGTAGGCTAGGAAGCTCACTAGAACAGTACAGTGGAACCCCCATATCAGCTGATTTGGTAATTAGATGTTATGTAATTAAATTTGTGAATTAAATTTTTATCATAGGTATGTATGTACACAACAAACAAGTAATTTATAGTATTCGCTACTATCCACAGTTTCAGATCTCCGCGGTAGGTATTGGATCGCATCCCCTGTGGATATGGGTGCTCTACACTATTTGACATTTGACAGTTTTCTAATGTCAATATCACAGTGTTGTCAACTTTGGTCAACTGGATGGAATGAGATTTTTCAATTCGAGACAAGTCTGGACACACATGCACACGCATTCACACGTATGTAACAGTTTTACTACCATCAAGTTACGTGGTTAGATAGACTACATGCTATAATTTACTTAAATTAGTCCTACAGAAATATAAACAACACGCTCTGCTCTTAAGTTCTTAGATATCAGTTCATGAGTTTGAGTTCCAAATTTGTCTTTAATATGCCAGTAGATAAGCTGATGTTTATGTTAAGTTTATGTTTGGTTGCCAGACACATCTATCCAAAGCACCTTACAGGAATCACGTAATAATAATAATAATAATTTGTCTTTTCTGAGTAAAGAGATGATCATAAGAGCATGATGTAGAGCTCATAAATAGTTCAAACATAAAATATGAATATGCCCATGAGGCCTACATATTTCTCTGGTCACAAACCACTTCTGCACTGCGGTACAGTCCATTGTGTGAAAAGTTGCCCACCCAGAATTTCTAATTGCCCCCCCCCCCAGCCTGAGCAGTCTCGATCCGGGCCTCCACCTCCTTCAGGCAGAGTTTAGTTGAAAAGCACTAGGAAACGGTGAGTATCTTGTTTATAAAGAGCACATTTACTATTTATTGTGCTTCCTTGTATCAGTACCATCACATCATGACTATTATGGTAGTAATAGGTGATGTGTATTGCAGGTGATGTGTCTGCAGTAATGGGAATGCAGAATTCTGGGTCTTTCTACAGCCTATGATGCAGGCAGCCACACAGTGGTTCAGTCATCATATTCAGTCCACATGCAGCCCCATGACAGGGTCACTTTATTCGCACAGACGCCGAATCAAAACACTTATCAGCCTAATATCCACTTTCTAATTTATGCATAACTTTAAACAGTTTGATAGAATGGCCTGTGGTGGATCTTCTGGAATAGCGCAGTGTGGAGACAGAAATACTGATTCATTTTATGCCATATATGTATAAAAGAGCATTATGATGTTTTTTTATTTATTTGCCCAGAACCCAAAGCCCCAGTGATTCTCAGCAGCAGTCCTTTTTGAAGCCTGTTTTGTTTTCCCCTGCTTTTTTTGGACTAGTCCCAGTTCCCGCTTATGAAATGCATCCAAGCTGCCCACTGACAGGCACATGAACGCCAGATTTCAGCTCGGTATCAAACGGCCATGCCGTCCGTCCCTCTCGGTGCCCGCCCGACGACCTGAGGTATCGGGAAGGGGCCGATTCCAGAAGGTATGGAGTGATGTGGCCTGGCAGTGTCCGCAGGGGTCCAGCGCTGTTGTGCATGCTCGTTCGGGCCTCCTGTCACCAGCTCGCGTCCCTGCCTTTGTTCTTCCTGTCAGCCAGACACGTAATTGGCATTCAGTGCCTGCAGACTTCCTCCTCACTTGGCGTGACGGACAGTGAGGCTGGGAATGGCTGTGCGTCACATTACGAACCTCCCGGCGGGATACGGTCAACCGTAGGAATGATAAGGGTCACCCATGGCACTCATGTAGGGTGAAATTAATGAGGGGAATTTATAACAAGGAGGGGATGTGAAATGGAATCGTTTTGCCAATCATCATGACAACATTACATATCGCCAGAAACTATTTACTTGGGAAGTTCATGTGAAGGTAGACTTATGACCATTATAACTGCACTCAGGTCAAGTTTGGTGTATTTTTCCACTTCAGCCATCAGTGCGATTCATCTACACGCCAAACAACCAACATCAACTAAGTGGGTCCTTTCACACTCTGTATAATTAAAGAGAAAGAAAATTCTAGAAAATAAGCAAGCCTGCTGGCATTCCCACACTCGGCTAACTGAACGCTCTTGTGCTGCTTTTGATGTCGAGGCAGAAGCCCAGTTTCCATTATCATGTGGAGAGTTTCTGTAAATATTAACATGTTATATTTTTATTAAATATATTTGCATTGAATGGATTGCAATGCAAGACACATTTCATACTGAATGGATTGCAATGCAAGACACAAATGGGATTCTTAGCTTTTTATTATTATTCCAAGCGTCTTTATTAATAACATGATTTACTTCTAGAAATAATTTCAACACATGAAACAATTTTTGTACTCTTTAAAATAATCTAATAATGCAAGTTAATGTGTAGAGTCACTAAATCAAAATGAAGTGATATAAAGTGTTTAATCATTTCAGCCTACTTAAAATCCTTTTGCAGATGAAAAAATTGTAAAAATATGGCTTATTGGGAAATATGTGCGTTATTTTGTATGATCAGGACCCAGAGCTAATAGCGCATTTGGGCTGCTGGCTGCATTCAGAGACGATATTTACCC